ACAAATGTATGTATATGTATATACATTTGTGGGCATATACATGAACACACACACACACACACACACACACACTGGGGTTATGCCACTTGGGATGATGGTGCTTCTCCCGACAACCATGCACAATCTAACAAAAGTATCCTGCATGGAGACCTCTCCTGGTGTTGTAGGTTAGAGGAATGTAAGAGTTTCCCAAAGCAATATGGGTGGTGCCATCGCTCTCAGTTGCCTTCTAGAACTTGAAGTTAAGAGCCTATTGCAGAAGACACCACACTCTTCAGACACAGGATTGGAGGACTCCAGCTGGAACTGACCCTAAGCCTCTTCCTCGAGGAGTAGCTGTCATGGTTCTGGGAAGAGCTGCGCAAGCATCCAAGGAAGGGGAGCAGATGGCAGTGCTACCAGTGCTACCATTGAGTGTGCCACTCAATGACTTACCATATAAGATGTAACAATCTGTCAGAGTTGGGGCCTCCAGCAACCGTCTTATCCATTCCCTCCTGAGATGTGGCGAGGTTAAGGTCTAAAGAGAATGGTTTAGAGTCAACCACAGCTTCACTGGGTATCTTGGTTTTGGGGAGTCCTTAAAGGGCAGGTTCAGAAAGTTGCTTTATGGGATGAGGGTGTCAAAAGTTCTGGACCTTGGAAAGAAAGGCTGACCTCCTTTACGGCTAAGGCTCTCCCGCCTCAGCAGAAGAGAAGAGTGATGGCTTGGGAAACAACAGATGGAAGGGCTAGGCACCCTGCTCTACTTTCTCACACCAAGGAGAGGAGTGAAATGTGTTCCCACGGGCGGAATGACCCCAGGTGTCTGTGCTACCTGTGCCCCCATTGCCGTCAACTTCTTGTGATGTTGCCCTTTATGGCACTGAAGTCACAGACAGCAAGAACCTACCATGCACCTTGGCACTTGTACCTTAGTTACTCAGTCATTACTGGCACTGACATCTTGGTGTGAATGCATGCCTGGGTGGTTGCAGGCTGTCCAAAACAGGTGCTGGGAGACAAACTCTGATTCTCTGAAAGAGCCGTACCTGCTTTCCACGGATGAATCATCTCTCCAGCCCCACAGAAACATACGTGTATGCACTCTTTGTGCACATGTGCAAGCATGTCTGTAGAATGCAGAATACATTCCCGGAAGATTGCTGTTGTTAAATGGCAAATTGCTCAGGTGAGTGATAATCAGATTTAGGTATTTTGATAAATATCAACAAGCTAGTTTTCAAAGTCTATTGTGTGGCTGTTTTGATTTCACTGCTCTTTGTTATACAATAATTTCTTTTCTCTCAGAATGAAGGACATGAAATGAGCACAAGAGAGTCCAGACAAGAGCCAGCAATCGATTAGTGCCGCTCTCGGCCTTGGTCAGAGAAGTTTCTGCTTGAAGAGGGTAGCAGTTAATGCCATAAGATACCGAGAATAAATGACACTGAGTCCTTAGCCCTAAATGGGACATCTCTTTCCCACCCAAGCTCAGGGAAGACTGTGGAAGTCAGGGCAGGAGAAAGTAAGGGCAGAGATGGAGAGCAGTGCTGTGAACTGCTGTCAATGGCATATGCGATGACCTTTGCACTCATGAGCTCTCAGTAGCAGTGGCCAGCTGCACAAGCCCTGAACAAGACTGAGCCCACCAACTGTCCATCACGGAAGTGGAGGGGTTCATGAGGCCCTAGTCCCCTCCCTGAGGAACTGTTGGCAGTGAATTGTTGCTGGGGAAGGGGGAGTCATTTTTCTTCAGTTATGTTGCCACTGGTAAGTTGCCCATGCCTCGGTAACACCCAACCCACGCTCAGGCAAGCAACCTTAATCAAACACAGAGGCTCACAAAACAGCAGCAACAAAAGACATGGCCATCATTTGGGGGCTGTACCAGGCTGGGCTTTGCTTTGTGCACCAAGTCTGCAATGATGCTGGACTCCATTCCCTTCATCTAATATTAAGTGATGAGTCCAGCACTAGAGACGAGGAGAATCTGTGTCCTTGCCCATGGCTTCTCATGGGTGCTGGAGTACAGAGACTGGAGTGTTAGGAAGGAGGCAGCCAGAGGCAGTGGGCTGAGTTCTGCAGTAGGATGGGTCTGGCTTTGTCCATTCTCTGCCTGACCGGCTAAATGATTCTAAATGGTCCTTGCCAGTCTGAGGCTTTGGAGCATCCTCTAGACTGCTGTGTGACTGCATAGCTCTTGGTGCATTGAAAGTGCAGGTGCTCTGGAATCTCAGAAAGGAGGTAGTTATCCAAGGCCACACAGAGGGTGGTGACCTGACCAACTTCTAGCCCAGAGGTGGCACTGAGTGAACTGCTGAAGATTTGCTGAAATGTCCTAACCACAATAATGTGGTAATAATGATAAAGACAGGGCTGAGGAGACTGTTTAGCTCATAATCACGAGGACCTGAGTTCTGATCCCGAGCACCCACGTGAAAAGATGGATACAGCAGCTGGGCTGCAACCCCCGTACTGGGGTGTGGGGTGGAGACAGGCAGATCCTGGAAGCTCATTTGTCAGCCATACTAGTCAAGTAGATGAGTTCAAGTTTAGGGAGAGACCCTGGCTGAAAGACTAAAATGGAGAGTGATCCAAAAGATGCTTGACGTCAGCCACTGGTCTCCACATGAGCACACACCCACAGGAGCACACACAAACACACCCAAAACGTACACACAGTGAGCACTTACAGGGAGCATACAGCATACTAAGTGTTTCATATGTGTTGTCGTGTATCCCAGTCCTAGCAAGTAGCTTTGCCTTTATTACTCTCATTTTATGTTAGTTTGTATGTATGAGTGTTTTTCTTGAACACAGGTCTGTATACTGCACATGTGCCTGGTGTGCTTGGAAGTCAGAAGAGGGCATGAAATCCCTTGGGAAAAGAGTTAAGGGAGATTGTGAGCTGGGTGCTGGGAATTGAACCAGGTCCTCTGGAAGAGCAGCCAGTGCTCTTAACTGCTGAGCCATCTCTCTAGTCCCATCAAACCCATTTTATAAACAAGAAAACTGAGGCATTGAGTTTAGTGAATTACCAGAGAAATAACTACAAAGTAACTAGCCATCAGTGTGGTTGGATGGATGGAAGAATGAATGGATGTATAAAAAAATAAATCAGCAGATTAGTAGTTAGAATTTGAGTTTATAAAAGTCCTTAATATCCTTTCAACATCTTTGAGTTGTGTTTTAGACATTTTGAAGGCAGATATTACCCAAGAAAATACATGTATTCCCTCTCCAGCTATCAGCCTCCATAGTCAAGGTCACATACAGCAAGCGGCTTTCACACATAGTTTAGGATATACTTACATCAACCAGGATGCAGAGAGACAAGAACAGAAATCTTATACTGTACATAAATATAGCCAACCCAGTCAGTTACACCCACACAGACACTGATACACTTAGAGACAGGCAGACATCGAAAAGGACATGCCATCAGGAGGAGACACTCAAGGAGGCACAGAACCATATAAAGACTGGGATTCATGGAATATGTGCCCTCAGATTCTCTCTCTCTCTCCTCTCTCTCTCTGTCCCTCCCTCCCACTCTCCCTCCCCCCAAACACAAAGTACATACAAATGCCAGGGTGTACATTGCATCTAAAACCAGACCGGACACACTTAGCACAAGGGTACGTACCTTGCAAGGACATACTTAGAGACAAGGTCATTACTGCACAGAGGAGGACATAGGTCTGCACATATAAACAGACACACACACGCACACACACACACACACACACACACACACACACACACACACACACACGAACACAGGCACAAATGCATACACACACACACACACCTCTACCCCAGCAGGCAGAACACAGACACCGCCAAAATCTGTCTTTTTCTTGCTGACCTAGCTGCACACAGACTCACTTTAGGCTTCGCTGCATTGCAGCCCCTTCTCATTTTCTCTAGGTCAAAGCCACTTACTGGATTTTGTGAAGCTGAGGGCTTCTCCCTTCAGCTTAGAGAAAAGGGGCATGAAGAAGAGAGACTGAAGCATGCCTGCATGCCCTTTTTGTCTCTGGACATTCAGAAAATCACCATGTCTTTGTTCCTAAACTAATTTAACACATTGCCTATTTCTGTTTACACAGTCTCCTTGCCTGGACCCTTGCTGTCTCCCATACAAGTCTTGACTGCATCCTTCCATATGGTCCTTCATGTCACCTGTCAGGGGGGCATTCTGTCTCAGCTGTCTGCCTTTGTTGAGATGGCATTTTGGTTCAAACCAAGACTTAGCTGCTAAGAAGAGGGAAGATGCTCCCTGGATTCACCCCACCCTCAGAGCAGCCCA